TATGGTTGGGTCGGGCAAAGGAGTTAATGGTGAAGTAGAGGGGTGGCCAAGGTTCCTATGGGAGTGTCGCTGAAGAGATGACCGAGGCCTGGTGTGAAAGGGCATGGTGGTTCTTGGCAGGAGTGGGTAGAGTGGACAAGATAGGGGAGGATGGTGTGAAAGTGAAAAAAGAAAGGGCTTAAGAAAGAGAGAGATAAGATGGTTTGTAATATTGGGTTTGGTGATAATGTGACCAAACACTTTTGGAGATGATAAGGTGAGAAAGATAGGTTTAGCAAGGGGGTCTAGGTTGCTAGCTGGCAAGACAAAAGAATGGTTGGATACAGACAAAGGGGCAGGATCAACAATAGTAGGCTGCAAAGAGGACAATGAGGGTTGTCCAATAGATAGATGAAGAACAGGTCCCAAGACTGAAGGGTTACCATCAAGATGGTTAGCAAGGGTCTGAAAAGGGTTTTCAGTAGACAGGCCAACCAAGGAGTGGTCCCCATCGACATTTAATGAATTAGACCTAGGTTTCAAAGAAAGGTTTAAGGTAAGACTTTGGGCGGAAATGGTAGGGTTCACCACTACCTTCTTCTTCTTCCACAGTTTGTTTTGAAGTTGGAACTGGTTAGGTTTAGCTTTCAAAGGTTCTCTGAAGTATTTGAGGTTTTTTTTATGAGTATCCATGGACCAAAAGCTGCGTCATCAATTGTAGCCTTGACTTCAGTGGACTTGGCATTTTCCGCCTTGGTGGGTTTAATGCATTCTGTGCATTTACCCAACCTATGGCCCAAACGACCACATTCAAAAATATGACATTAACTCCTTCGTAGGATACTTTTTGAACAATGGACCCTACCATGATTTTTGTAGTTAACAACTTGGCCAAATCAACTTGAATACACAGCCGTGTAAAGCATCCCCTATTACCATTTTTGGTGTGTATGTCAATCTTTAGAAGCTTTCTCAACTTATTACCAATTCTTCGCAGAACATGTTGATCATAGTATTCAATGGGAAGGCTTTGGAGTCTAGCCTATATCACTGTAGTAGTGACCTTTGTTTTAAACGGTTGAAAGTCAAGTTCCATCGACAAACCGACAAGAAGTTACTACCAATAAACCAGGGGCCTTCATTCAACACTTTGGTGATATCCGCTTTGGGTGTTGAAACTTGAAAAGATAGAAGTGATTCCCAAGGTCAATACCATGGAGATCACTCAAGGGTTTCCAGGTACTGTTCAATCTATTGATAAGAAAAGAATAGCCCACCATTCTCCTTACAAGTTTGACAATGAGAGAAGTATGCCAAGGATCGCAAATACGAAGCCACTACACCAACAAAAAAAAAAAAACTTTTGGCGAACTTTTTTTAGTCACCAAAAGTGTAATTTTAGTTGCTGAAAGTATCCGCCATATCAACAAAATCGATTGCTGAAGCCTTGTCACTAAATGGTTTGGCAACCAAATAAATTATGGTCGCCTTATAAATAAATCGGCAACCAAATATTTTAGTCGCCAAAAACTAAAATTTCGTCACCATAAATTAACATTTAGTCACTAAAAGCAACCTTAAGCGGATGGCATGTTAGGTTTTAGCGACATATAAATGCGTCGCCAAAAATATCTTTCAACGACTAATTGAATTGGTTGTTGAATGTTAAAACTTTTGGTGACCAATCAAGTTTCGCGTTGCTAAAATAATTATTCACATAGACTTTCAGCAACAAAAACAAAGTGTCACCAAAAGTAAATTTACAACTGAAAAATCTGTGACAAAAAATTAATTATTTATAATTTCTTTTTACAATTTCCATGTTCAGTACATAATTCATAAACCTATAAATATAAGCAAAATATAATTCAAATTAACACACTTGTACAAAGCATCCAAAATATAAACTTAATTCAAAAGCAGTAGCAAATTAAACATAAGCAAAATATCAAATCCAAAACATCCAACATAAGTACAAATCCCTTACAATCCCAAACTTCAAACATGTAATTCCAAAAAGACTTCCAAGCTTGCAAATTCATAACAAAAACTTATGACAAAATATATCCAAAAAATCAAAATGTAATCCTTGATGTTTCCCAAACTATGTTCCATCCATTGCCAATCTGTCAAACATATGAAAAAAAATTGCAATATTAAAATGTTAATAATAAAGTTCTTGGTCTCAAAACATTGGTTTCACATTATAGATGAATAAATTAGGAGCAAATTTTCCTACAATGAATTACAAGATTTCAATATACCAAAACCAAAAGGCAACACATGGTTCACCAGTTAAAACTTGGCATATATGAACTAATTACAAGAAATATTTCTACAAGAAAGTATGTAAATCAGTCTCATATTATCCAACCAAAATCTAGCTCAAATTCTGTCATAATGAAATACTGATCAAATACAATCTATTATGATGTACTGATATCCTAAACTACTACAAAAATGCTTAAAAGATCACACTTAAGGAAATTAAAACATGACACTTTTAATGGGAAAAAAAAAAGATAATAATTAGAAGCTACTCATCAAAATGAAGAGCAAAATAATGTCAACTCCCAAATTTTCCAACATAGATTAAGACAATGTCACATAGCATACATGAATAACACTAAACCAACCACCATCCACAAGGTAAAACCAACATAAAATAGTTTAAAAATAAAAAATGTTTTAAATTAACATCTTGTACATATATTCACAACAAGAGTATCAACTTAACAATGGTCAAAAAGCATTGAAGAAGCATCTTGTTTTGTATGTCTTAATAGTGAAAATAAAATGGCTAACACAACTATTTGCTAATCTTGTACGAAACCATTTAAAATGAAATGGCTAACCTATGAAATGAAATGAATATGGAAACGAATAACCAAGTCCAATGGTGAGCCTGCATGTATTTGTATAATTAAATGCATGCATTCCAAGATTCAAAGAAGAAAACCAACAACAAAATATGGAGCATAATCATATTACTTCTCAACACTTGCAGTCTTTGGAGGTATAAAACCAAACCAAGAAACAATAGGGGAAAGAATATACGAGCAAGTAGAAATATTGTCTCAATTGAAAAGAATTTTAATTCCATGCATTAATATATCCAACATTAAAATGTCCTATAGTATATCATTTATTATTGAGTCGTAGATTACATTGAAGAAAATAACAGTAATTGATGCGTGTACTGCTTGAATGCATAATGCACCAGAACAAAATCATTCCTGCCTTCAGTATTTTAGCAAAACCTTCAAGAAAGTCAACCAATCAATAATACTAATAGCAACTTTACATAATCAAGACACAAGCCACTAATAGCAATCAATAATATTGTCTTGTTATTAGTGGTATATCTATTAAGTTAATTTTCCCCCTTGGTACTTCCATTGTTCAAATCACATCATCCATCGTTAAGTTTTCAAACAAGCTAAAAATCATGCTCTAAATGATAAAAATCCAATAATAATAAAAAAAAAACTACATTAGGGACACAAATGTAGAACCAGGTTCACAAATAGTATAGTATGCAATTTTTTGCACATCATTACATTCATAGATATAAAGGCAACCACACAACGATTAACTACAGGTATACTATCATTTGTGCATTGGTCTAATGCTTCTTTTCTCTTTATTGTGTGTTGCTTCTCTTATGAGATTATATATTTTTTGGGTAGTCAAAACAAAAGGAAGAGAATTTTTTGTGCAGTCCCCATAGCAATTGTATAATATCAAAGGCAACAAAAAATCAAAGCAAAATAATGAGGTTTGTCACCAAAAGGATACAAATGGTAGGTCCTTAACATCTATTAACATGAAGGCTCTAAGAAATCAAAACGGTAAATAGAGAAAACCATTGTAAAATCTAACCAAATAGTTTGACATCTAAAGAGTAATGGTAGTGAGTGTAATGTGTCTATAGGCAGATTCTCAATGTGTGTCCATAATATGCTATCAAAGAATAATATAAATCTTCAACAACAATACCTTCAGCTTACTAATAGCACGCAAGCAATCATCCTTGGACAGCTTCACGAGCACTCTTTCGCCTCTAACAAAACAATTTACAGAGTTCCTCCAAGTTAATCAAACCCCTATTATGGGGTCTGGTAGCCAAACAAATATCAACAATTTGCACCGCTGTCTAGCCAAGTTAATTCATGTCAAGTTTAGACATTACAAAGTGTTATGCCGCAGGAAAGAAGTCATGACTTAAACATAATTGACAAAAAATGGATTAATGGCAAAATTCAAAAATCATGCACATCATGCCTATATAGATTATGTGTAACAATTTGACCTAGTTTCCATAAAACAAAGACATGCTAAAATACAGTAACCTGAATCCATGAATCTTGAAGATTAATTTCCACAGGCAACAACATTAAGAATTGCTGACCTCTTAACCATCCAATTCAACAACATGAAATCCATACCTTAATATAGAATAAATCAGTTGAAGTCATCTGACAATTAACAATTCACCAGCAAACGGACCATATATTTAACTCATGAGTATGTATTTTCTGGCTAATATGTAATTCCATTGGTAAGTATGAGTAAAGGTGTCAAAGCCTCCAGATATTATAATGCAAAGATAAGGTTGAGTTCTCCAATTTATAGGCGCGGGAGCGGGGGGGGGGGGGGGAAAAAATCCTCCTGGGGCGTTCAGGGACATCTAGCAACCAGTGGCGGAGCCAGGAATTTAATATAGGGGGGCAGCTATTAATTATAATCTCAAAATTTTTCTTCCCCAATCAATAACAATAACATAATAATAATTTTTTGAGCTAATATTAAATATTAAAAATTAATATTCATTACAAAAAGTTTTTAATTTTAAAATTTTACAATTGACCCCGACGAGTTTTCATCTTTTGAAATCTTTCCATGATAGTATCATTGTCAATGCCGTCAAAAATATCTCTCTCAATGTAGACAACCAAGCTATCATTCATCCATTCATCACCCATTCGGTTCAGTAACTGATTCTTCAAAAACTCAAATGATTAAATTAAGTCCAACAATACATTTGTCAATGCTCGTTGTTCTGAATTTGAACCATCCTCCGAAATCATTTCAAGCACATCAATCACTATTGAAAACATACTAGCCAAGCTGACTAAAGAACCATAGTGTGAACCCCAACATGTATCACCAGCATGTTTAACATTAGTTTCTCGATTTAAGCCTTGCCCACTAGATAGCTCTCCAGTAATAAGTGCCTCAGTAACTTTTGCAGGTTGCTTCTCCCTAACAATATCTCGGCGTTTACATGATGCTCCAACAGCATTCACCACATTAGAAACCAAAGTGAAAAGTAAAGCAATTTGATTATGATTATTTGCCACAGCTACAAGTGCCAATTGCAATTGATGAGCAAAACAATGAGCATAATATGCACAAGGATTCTATTTCAGTATAATTACTTTCAGACCATTGAACTCACCTTGCATATTACTAGCCCCATCATATCCTTGACCCCGCAATCTGGAAATACTCAATCCAAGTCTAGGGAATAAATTTTCCATATCTTGTTTAAGTGAGAGAGCATTCGTATTAGCAACATGCTCAATACCCAAAAAGCGCTCAATCACTTGGCCTTTTTTGTCAACATATCGTATTACAACTGCCATTTGCTCGTTGATTGATATGTCACGGGCTTCATCAATCAAAATAGAAAAAAGTGCATCACCAAGATCTCTAATAATCACATTGATAGTTTCAAATGTGGCCACATTTACAATTTCTTTTTGAATATCAGGAGATATCAACTTTAGATTTTGTGGAGCATTGCTCAATGCAACCATTTTGACATCTTCATTATGATCAGCAAGAAACTTGAAAAGTTCAAGAAAATTTCCCTGGTTACTTGAATTTTTAGATTCATCATTCCCACGAAACGCAAGTCCTTGTCATAAAAGAAATTTGACACAATCAACGGATGCATTCAAACGAGTTCGATACTTAATTCGAGCTTGATCAGATTGTTTGAAAAAAATTGTTTGAATATGTTGGTTTTGGTTTAACAAATCTTGACATTTACTCGAAGCTTGATTATGAGCATTATTGGGACTTCCAACATGAGTTTGAATTTTTTCTTTTTTCTTCTAATTTGAGAAACACTCACCAACAAAAGAATCACCACCATCTTGATCTCCAATGTCGAGTTTGAAAAGATAATGTAGACGCGCCCGAACGTCCCCGGGGGAAGTGTAGACGCGCCCCGAGGGCATTTGGGCTTACTACAGTTCGGACTCAAATGTCACGGTTCTTAATCTGATCCCGCAAAGTGCAATGCAAGACTGATAAATCACCAAAGAGTCCAAATCCGGCAAATCGTTTTGGAAAATTGATTTTAAGAAAGAAGTGTCAAACATGGACTGCTTTGCCAGATACAGAGTCGCCACCTAAATATTTTATTTTGGGGGAATTTAGGAAACCCTGACTCGTTGCCTAAGGCTGCGTGTCCGTCATCACCAAAGTTGCCTCAGCTTGGGAACTTGGGTACAAGAGGGAAAGGTCATGCAATGAGCACCCCCGCTCACCCGATCGAAGATCGGCCTTTACTAAGCATGATATTTTGTTTTGAAAACATATACGTCCTTATTCCGGTTATTAGCCTAAAATTACTATGTGATACGCACAACACACAAGTATAGGCCGAATCGCTTAAATTGGAACAATACATTCCATGTTTGTTTATTTGAAAATAGTTTGATGGTGCTACTCGCAAGTAGGCTAAGACGTAGATTAACCACCCCCAGGTGGGCTTAGAAAACATGATTTTTGCCACCCCGCAGAGTGGGCTTAAAACTCGCATTCAATGAATTGTTCCAATTCAGGTAGTCCAACCTTCACCCACAGGCATTCAGGCAGTTATATCACATAAGCAAATAGCCTCATGGCAAGCATGCTATCATGGCAACACTTACACACATGCGGTATGCTAAAGCGTAAACGCTTACCTAGTACTCTGAGCCAAAACAATAACTAGTTAGTAATCAAATGCATGATCTTAGTTCATGTTAAGATGGCTAATGCAACACATGCAAAAATGCAACTAGAATAGGCTCGGCTAATCTAGCAATGGCATGTGAAATGCGACAACTCGATACACGTATTCAAGTTGGAATTGAAATACTATGCAGTTAGTATGATGCGCCGAGCCCAGTGCATGCAATACAGATGAATGATGCAAACATGCGAGCATAAGGATGCTAATTGAAACATGACCTAAAACTAACCATTGAAAATAAGTAAAATGGAGAAAGACGTGGGGTTTGGAAGACATTCACACACTCACGCACACTTATTACAAAAGTTGCCCTCTCGACGGAGGGTCCGAATAAATAATACAAACTGAATAATTAATCAACTACCCTAGCTAATTAAATATTACAAAACCCTTAACTAATTCAAACAAATTAACTAAGCTATGAAACTAAAGAGGCCGCCGCAGC